CTCCCACAATTAAAAGACGTCTATACATTCCACAATGTCGCGGAGAACCTAACGGGTAACCGGGGCTCCGGCTCGACGTGCAGAAGAAGGAACGGGGTGGTTTTTAGTCAGTAAGAGTCTGACACTCCCTCCCGCCTCACCTAGGCGGGAGCAGTCATTCGATGATTTTCCCCCCTTAAAAAAAAATACATTCCAAAATATAGAAGTTAGATGATACGACGGCCACGTGTAACGAGGATATTATTATAATGTCATAATATAGAGCTATCCACATTATTATTCTGAACCCAAACATCAAATTTGGTTTTGATCCCTTTGTTTAGGGAATTGTTTTTTTTACATAATATTATGTAGAACTTAATTCTTCCGTTATGTTCACATCAAGTTATAAATCAAATTGTAATAGATAATTGTTTTTATACGGATTTCAGGGACAAAAATGTCTAGAATAAATGTAATTATGTATGTATGCAGGCATATTGTACTCATGTGTAGGTATACATTATAATTAAATTTATTTATGTATGTATATCTCCGAAATATATTAGTTTATCTTTCATTGTTAAATAAAACCACTGCTTGCCTCTTGCACCTACCATTTACTCTTCTCTGCATCACCCAAAGGTCAGACTGGTAGAAAATGCCTGCGGCATTAAGTCCACCTTTTTGTACATTTTGTGCATGAAGCATATTAAATAAATTAAATAAATAAAAATAATTAATTTTAACCCGATGATAATACGCTTCTTATAATGTAATTTACATTAGTATTTACGTAGCCTTTTTTTGCGGGGGAAAATTATCCAGTGCCTTCTCTCGCTCGGATGAGGGAGGGAGTGCCAGACTCTTACTGACTAAAAACAACCTCGTTTCTACTATTGCACTTCAAACCAGAGCGCCGGCAACACGTTAAGACCTCCGCGGCTCTGATTTACTAAGCCTTGGATCAATAATTTACCTTGGAAAATGGAAATATCGGCTCGTATATGAGTCCCCCATGTGAAATCGAAACTAGCTGAGCATCTTCAATCAATACATTGAAAAACAATTCCATACTAATTTTGATATCAGTCAAACTATCTAAAATAAATCGATATACAGTCTGCACCGAAGCAACTATAGTTGTCAAGTATGTACACAAGTCATAAGTACTCTCTCTTGCCTCTTATGATTTAATGGGATGGCAATCTGACATGACCTCAAAGAGATTAAACGCCAGATAATGATCTTGCTAGGATGACGTTTAGGTATATTGACAGTGTGAAGTAGATATACTGACGAGTTTGAAGGGTGGTAGAATCATGCTTCGGCACGAATGGGGTGGCGTGATCGAAGTGAGACCACGGCCTCATAGAAAACCGACGTGAAACAACGCTTGCGTTGTGTTTTGTCGTGTGAGTAAAGTTACCGGAGGCCCAATTACCCCTCTCCCCCCTTCTCCAATCCCTGAATTCCCAACAATCCTCAAATTCCTAATCCCAAAAGGTCGGTAATGCACTTGCAACGCCTCTAGTGTTCCAGGTATCCACGAGCCTCGCCGATTGCTTACTATCAAGTGATCCGTCTGCTCGTTTATCGGCTTATACCATGTATAAAATCCAGAATTCTCGTTTAAACTGTCAAACACCAAGCGGTCACCGGTGACCGCAACCTATTGTTCTATAATTGTGTCTGCAAAACCGGTACTCGACGAGTTAAACAAATTCATTACTCGTGCACTTTCAGTTCACCCGGTAATTGTAATCAAAATGATATCATAAGTATTATTGGTGCTGACGACGCATACTTATTATATAACGTGAGAGTTACTGTTCTTTTTGTCGGTCGCCTTCACGCTGGGCAAGTAGAGCAGAGATCGAATCATAAAAGTATTAGGTTCGTTAGAGAACGCTGCTACTCCGTGTCTGTCAAATAACCCCCAATATATATCAAGTCAAGGTCAGACTCAAACCAGCCTAAGAATAGACATAACATAACATCACGTCTTTTATCTCCGAAGGGGTAGGCAGAGGTGCACTTATTCCCACTGTACAATGTAACGCCCACTTTTCACAATTTATGTAATGAGTCCCATGTAATAGGGAGTGAGCCTATTGCCTAAGAATAGAACAAAATGAAATAATATTTTCATCACACGGTTCAGTTAACATTTGCTTTCGTAGAATGACTAAAACTAGAATACCTAAAATAGAAATACAACAAATAAAACGATACAGTTAACAGGCAAAAAAAAAAACCTAACAATGTATTTAGATTTTAGTCAGAAATACTAAGATCAAAGTCAAGTCCTTAAGGAAATGTAATTGAACGACAAGAGCACGTATACGAGTCCGTGGGGAATAAAAAAGTTTTTAATATAAAAAAAGATCAAAGTCAGCCCTATTAAACGATAAATATATATAGTCAGTTTGATTCAATAAAGGATAATATTTGTATGATTCTAGGAATTGCAAATCCTGTAACATTATGATCAAATGACAGCAAGTAAAGTTACACCACCCTGTCTAATTTTTATACGACTCTCAACATTATTGTTTTGTTTTAAAGTCGAAAATCCAGAGTCAAAATTGTCAGATTAGAGTAGGTTAATCTGCAGCTGGCTTCAGTAGGTAAGTAGCATTAAGCATTTCTTCTTGGAAGGGTCGGGAAAGGTATGCTTAATTATGATTATGTTCCTTTCACCGGTCACTTCTCCTTAGAGTAGTCACTTAGGAACCTTCGGCCTCATCATTCACTTGATAAGCTTGACGTGTAAAAGTGCTGCATTGTAGCCTATTTGCAGAAATAAATTAATTTGTTTCACCGGTTACCTATATTGAAACTTATAATAACTTATCTTATAATACGAAACGTAGAAAAGTAAATATCATTACTTCGTTGATCGAGCATGGGATCTCATCAATTATCCTATGTAAATGTTTATTTTTTTTCTATATTTTTCCCAACACTTACTTAATTTTCTTGAAACTCAATTTTCACTCACTCACATCATAAACACAAAGAGTTGTTGATTAAAAATTTCACAGTCATATTAGGCAGTTAGCAAAAAATTAAAAACGACACGTTCGAAATTTTAAATAAAAACGAATTCACCACAACAACCAATTCTTGTAATTACGAAAATCAACCTTATGTTTCACAAGATAGAGTAGAATATCCACATACAGTTACATCTATTCATTTAGGTACGTCGGCAGCTGACGATGTTTTCCTGCACCCCACTGTGTCAAGGTCACGTGTAGAAGTCTAAAAATGGCCGTCAAACGAATCAGATCTATGCACGGGATCTCAATAAGATCAAGATCTCGGTTACAAGGAAAAACATGATAAATAGTAATTGTATCTTTTTCAATGTGTCGTAAGTGTTTTTCAGCTGAATATGGCTTGGGTTCGATATCCATTTTGAGTGATTTTGATATATTTTTCATCGTAATTTGTGTTGAGAAAGTATTGTAGTAAGTAGTAGCCTTTAATACAAAATGACTGGCTTGTAAATAACTATTGTGTCTTTACTCTTTACGGTGGGTACGGGTTGTGATTTTTACTAAAGCCTTTTATAAGTATTATAAATAAACATATAGATATCTTAATTAAACTATTCTTATTTTCGGCCTACTTACATAAAGGACTCGACGACAACGCAACGACGCGAACCGACGCGGGTTGCTACTCATGAAAATGAGCTTCTAGAATGGCTGGAATTTCGTCGAGATCATATTTAAACAGTGACGTTTATTTAAATAGATGCAAAAGGTAGACAGGTAGTATTTTACTCATATTTAACTATAATACAAAATTAACTGAAAATCGCGGCTACTCACGTGAATATACTGAGAAAAGCTCTACTAGTTTCGAACCTCAGAGGTGATCTTCCTCATGACTCATGGGCAACGTGCGCGGTACTCGGCTACAGTACAGTAGAGCTCCTCTGTGACTCGAAACTAGTAGAGCTTTTCTCAGCATATTCACGTGAGTAACCCACGATACGATACGTAAGCAGAAAGCAATAATATTCAATGTGGTATGCTTCAAGAGAGAAAAAAGAAATATATCAAATATTTAAAAAAATGAACCCAATCAAGTACCAAAATACAGCCACTAAAATGAATTTTTTGTCCTAATTAACACAAAGCAAGCTAATGAGTTAAAAATATCTATTTTGACTGTTACGAAAGCCCTGAGAGAAGCCGAAAACAGGACAAGATGGAGGGAAATAACACAGAGAGCAATGAAAGACTTTCACGGGCACGACCTTCAGAAATGAAACAAATGATCGAAAAGAGAAGAGAGTCTATTTTTAAAGTAAGCCCAATCATTTATTTTTAGTCTGACGCAACATAACTATAACTTAACAAACACAAAAAGACCAAGCCAATTAGTCAGTAAAACAAAACTTTTTGTTTATTTTATATAACACAAAAATATCTAAAAAAGAAAATATAAAACAGTTATTGTTTTATAAGAAAAATACAATATAATTATATCGCAACAATCTATCTTTAAGTTTAAAATGTTGGACATTGATGAGAGTTTATTTTCAAACAAAGATAGATAAAACATTTTATTCGACATTAGGCCCACACACAGATACAAATACACATATTTTATACATAGGCTTCTCTCTTTCTATATTTCTAATAAAAGTTTTAAAGTTCAAAACCCAATAAACTTTGTCCACCTCTCAATACTAACTTGACACCTTAACCTTGACAATCACACTTGAAAATATTCTCCAAGCGTGACGTAATAATTTTCTTTAAGAAAAAAATAAAAGCTTGTAAACGTCATAACAAGTAGCAACTTCAATAAAAACGATACACTACAGTAAAATTCCAATTAATTCATAATTATTTCCATTGACAAACTATTGAACATCAAGCAGACGTAGATGATAACATTTTCGTGTACGTACAGATAGTATTTTCAAAGCGCAACGTATGTAGCTACAAAGCTTCACCCGTACTATAGAATACGCGAACACAGTCGATTTCGAGCGACCGCGGGTGTCGGACCGACGGCGCGACGCGCGTCCTTACAAAGTTCTCGCGAACATCACATCATACGAAAAATTCAAAAGTACCTATTCTCTTTTCAAAATACTGTCATTCATTGAGTGTATTATTTTTTTTTATTTGACTTTGTTGTGGTGAAAAGTGACTAATAACGTTTTTTGGAATAAAACCGTTTTAGTTAACTTTAAAAACTTTTCTTTTTTTATTACTCTAAATTTGAACTTGTATTAGTTTTTCCCGCGTAATTATGAGTGTCAGTTACAAATGATTGTTACAAAAAGTTAGTAACCAATTAAATAGTGTTTTTAAAATTATAATAAAATGGTGACTGTGCTAGTGTGAGTGTTAGCAAAGTTTTTCATGAGCAACTTTTAAAGTAAGTAATAGATTTAGTTTGTATTTTTTTTTTAAAGTGTCGTTGAGGTAATTAATGTCGCTTTTATATTTAAAGTATGGATGAACTAGAATTTAAACACGAACTCGAACTCATTTGGAGATAAAATTTAAATTTTAGTATATTTTTTTTTATTTAGATATTGAGACAACTGAGATAGACTTTAAAAAATATTTAAAAAGTAAGGTTTAAAAAATAAAAATGTGTATAAGTATTATTTACAAATTATTTTATTGTTACAAATTCATTTTAGATCAGCCTACTACGTTTTGAAAACAAATCTAAACGCTTACCACCAGGCGAGATAGTGGCCTAACGCGAACCTATCAAATCTAAAAAAAAAAACAAATCACGCTAGCACTCTTGTTCTGACTAATAGTTAATTAAAAATATAAACTGATTGTGAACTTACCTACCTATCATAATTTAAATTTATAATAAGAACACACTGTTTTTTTTATCGTTCCATACTTCAGCAACCAGTTATTATCCTGGAAGATTTATATACAGGTATTTGCTTGTATATTTACAGCAAGTATTGTCGTGGAAATGGTCTCCTTTGCTTTTCTGTCTCTCTTTTATTTAATGGTTCTTTCATAAACGAATTTGAATTCGAATTTAGTCATCGTTTTAGACCAATAAGCCCACATTACGGCACTTCATGCCACTGTACAGTGTAACACCAACTTTTCACTATTTTATGTTATGAATCCCATGTAATATTGCCATACATCGGGCACAATTTCAGACTACGTGCTACCAAAGAAAAATTTAAAAAAAGAACGGCCAACGAGGCAGTCAATACCTTATTCAGTTATCATATCATCATCATCATTAACAGCCGAAAGACATCCACTGCTGGACAAAAGGCCTCCTCCTTATTCTTCCACGTAGAAATACATATAACATAACATCACGCCTTTTATCCCCAAAGAGGTAGGCAGAGGTGTACATTATGCCACTGTACAATGTAACACCCACTTTTCACTATTTGTGTTATGAGTCCCATGTAATAGGGGGTGAGCCTATTGCCATATACCAGGCACAATTTTAGACTGCGTGCTACTACTGTAATTTTTTTAAAAACCCAGTAATACTTTGCTCGACCAGGGAATCGAACCCCAGACCCCTTGCTTGCTCGACAGTCGCACTTGCGACCACTCGGCCAATGAGCAGTTGAACTATACATAAGCAAAATTACAAGAATCGATTAAGTAGTTAAAGCCTAAATAGGTATCAAACCAACTTAGGTACTTTCGAGTTTATAAAATTAGGAATAAGCACAATATCGGATAGTATCGAATACAGTATTTGTTTCAAAGTCGATTAGAAATACAAGATAGTTATACCAATATCAATAGAAAGTTTAAAGACAACTTTAATATCGTAGGTACTTTCAAATTTAATATTAAGTATTAAATACAATTTCAATATTATTCATAATTTAAATTATGACTGGGTGCTTATGTTTTTGAAGCTAGGAGATGGTATCTTGAATACAGACGAAAACATTGTCATAATGTTAATATTGATTTTATTTTAAGATAGCTACTTTCTCACGGTTACACCCGTTCTCCTCAGTTCCTATTAATTGCAGTATAATATTTTCTAGCCTTAACCTAAATGTATATAGCATTCCTTGATAGATGCATTATCCAACTCCTGAGATTCGCGAGATGCGTCAAAGAAACTCCTCAGCTTTATAATAAGTACATTTAAGATACAGATCATATAGGTATCATATAGGTATAGCATTTACTACTTTTCATCATTATATTTAATAGTAATAGCAAAGTGTGGAAGAGCCATGCTTCGGCACGAATGGGTTGGCTCGACCGAAGTGGTACGGCCTCACAGAAGACCGACGTGAAACAACGCAAGCGTTGTGTTTCGTCGTGTAAGTGAGGTCACCGGAGGCCCAATTACCCCTCCTCTGCTTCGCAATTCCAAAATTCAGAAATCTTCAAATTCAAATCCTAATCTCAAAAGGCCGGTAACGCACTTGTAACGCCTCTGGTGTTCGTATCCATGGGCGATGCTGATTGCTTACCATCAGATGATCCGTCTGCTCAATTACCTGTTTATCCGATAAAAAAAGAAAGCACCAGACTCCATTATTACAAAGGACTTATCCACTAATATTCTTCTATGCTTTAAACTCGTGGCATAATAATATTTTGAAATTTTAACAAAACCTCAATAAATGGAAACTTGAGTAGGTATTGAAATATTAAATTCTTGAGGAAAATTTGTCGAACAATTTTACATACTCTGTTGAAAGTTGAGATTCTGGCTAAAGGAAAATAGATTTTATCGGTAGTGAACTAAAACTTGTTTTCAATTAATATTCTGATTATGTACCTAACTGTATATTTCGTTATTATCTGTCATTTTTTAAATTTTTATCTCATTTTAGAAATTAAGTATAGTCTGATCTTTTATACACCACAACGATGGCAAAAAAGCACACGGCCCACCTGATGGTAAGCGGTTACCGTGGCCTATGTACGCTTGCAACACTTAGGGCATTACATGCGTCTTGCCGACCCTTAAGAAACCTATTCACTCCCCTCTTGAAGAACCCCATGTTGTTGTTATCTGATGTTAGCCAATCGGTTTTCTTCAAATCACAAAGGCACCAATAACTGTAGATTATTAAGCAGACTAACTAATTTCTGCAAGTAGGCTGTTTATCTTGGCATAGTATAGAAGGCATGGCAATAAGTTTTATAACCTTTTATAAATAAATAAAAAAAGTATTATACAGGAACTGCTTCGTACTTTTATACGCATCTAAAGAAAGTAATTGCCAGTTATTGTACCACCGCAAATAGTAGGCCATATCCGATAGGAAATGTATTGCTAAACACAATACGGGCACAATAACAGACTTGTACCAATATATTTACCAAAGGGAATTCAGGATTTCATTTTGATAGTCGTTTTATTCGTTCCGTAACTATTTCTGTCGTTAGATCAAAGTATACAATACAATGTCATACTTAAAATTCTAATTTGTCTACTTAACTATGTAACTGCCTCGTTGGGCACGTACTGCCGGGCAAGGGGACTCGGGTTCAAAAACAGGGTCGCACAAAGTATGACTGTTTTTTTTTAATCACAGCAGTAGCACGAAGTTTAGAATTGTGCCCGGTATATGGCAATAGACTCACGCCTTATTGCATGGGACCTCATAATTTAAATAGTGAAAAGTGCATGTTACATTTCACAGTGGTATTAAGTGCCGTAATTTGCACATCTGCCCACCCCTTCAGGGATAAAAAGGCGTGACTGTCTCTAATTTAATCCTAGCAAATCCATATTTACTTTTAAAGTATTTTTATTATAGTATTCTACAAAAAGCTAAGTTAATAATCTGCTCCACATTAAACTAGATACTTTATGATACTTTTTCTTATTAAATACTAGCTTATGCCCGCGACTTCGTACGCGTAATCCCATTTTTTCCCGTCCCAGTTCGTGATTTTCGGTATAAAACTGAGATTTTTTATAAAAAACCTAGTAATGCTTTGCCCGACCCGGGAATCGAACCCGAGACACCTTGTGTCGGTCTCCTGGCTCTAAGCTACCTCCCTACCAATTTTCAGCTAAATCTATTCTGTCGTTCTTGAGTTATAAGTGGTGTAACTAACACGACTTTCTTTTATATATATAGATTTGACATTTGCCATCGGTTGTGAAGGAATATTTACATATCGCACTATAGAGTATATTTAAGTTGATGAACTTTAGTATAGTATAAAAGACTTTACCAGAAGTTCAAAATACCCAGTTGTTCCTATGGGCTTATGTTTCTTTTTTAAATAAGCATTTAAGATGAATAGCTCAAATATCCACCAGGCGAGATAGTGCCCAAACGTCGGCCCATCAAATATAAAAAAAAACAGTACATAGGTACAACAAACAGTTCATAGAACAGTCACCAAACCTTTTAAGATTGTTGAAATAGGCCTAAGTCCAAATTAAAATTGCAAACTCAAATCTTTTTAATAGACATTGATCCTCTATGACCATTTGCGTGGGGATTTAAAACGGTGACGTCATCATCAATAGAATCAACAGCACATAAGAACGCCATATCCACACTAATTGTGAGAGTCAACAAAATATAAATTGATGTGACGAGCCGACTGGCAAGTCTTAATAGCTTCTGTTAAGTACAAAAAAATAAACAGTGACGAATTTGTTGGTCATGTGTCTTGTGACAGTAGGTACAATCGTAAACACCAATCTTCTATGAAATAAAGTCGATTTGGATGTGAGTATCTTAAAGATAACATAACATAACATAAGATTTTATCCCCAAAGGGGTAGGCAGAGGTGCACATTATACCACTGTACAATATAACACCCACTTTTCACTATTTATGTTATGAGTCCCATGTAATAGGGGGTGAGCCAATTGCCATATACCGGGCACAATTCCAGACTCCGTGCTACTACTGAGAATATTTAAAAAACCCAGTAATACTTTGCCCGACCCGGGAATCGAACCCGAGACCCCTTGCCCGGCAGTTGCACTTACGACTACTCGGCCAACGAGGCAGATAACTATGTATAATATTTTTCTATAAGGTATCGTAATCGTATCAATTGGCTTTCTATAGTCTCTGCTTACCCCCATGGGAGACGTGTGAAGTTATGTATGTATGTATGTATGTATATAATTTAGCTTTGAATTTGTACGAAAGTAGAGGCGGCACGCGTCAATTACGACAACCGACCGCGCCGAGCGCTTTACAGTGTTCTACACGCTAAAGTATTGTTCAGTTTTGTGTTGAGCTAGCTTTTGTCCGAGCTATGAGATCCGTGTAATAGGACTCATGAAAGGGGCACTAATGCAAAATCTGCTACTACTAATTCTTAAATTCAAAAATCTGGTTTGGTGCTTTGTTTAACCGACCCTCTCTAGACAAATGACAATAAAATAATAATAGAAAAATAATACTGCCTCGTTGGCC